AGAGTCGTCAAGAGAATCAGATGTTTTCCTCACAAGTAAACCAAATTGGAAGATGAAAACCTGCGGCTAGGATTGCCAGTGATGCGCGTCGAGTGCGCGCGTACCCAGGTTGGCCCACTCCTGCGGGGTCAAAGCATCCTGCAAGTCTGTGATCTCTAGCAGCTCCTGTCTACCGCACCCAAGAGAGAACCTTGGGCAAAAGACGGAACCTACAAGAGCATCAAATGAGAGAGTCCAACCGTTTCTCTTCATGTTCTGATAATTAGTGCCCGGCATGAAGGGTCGACCCTCGATGGGCGCTTGGTCCGTGGACTCAACAAACCCAGGCGTCTTGACATGAGAACCCGCGTGGGATGTCAGTTGCACGGCATTTCACAAGCCTTAGTGTCACAAAATAGAGCGTCAAGGAGAATCGATTCGCTGGATGCGTCACTAATTTCCCAAGCGTTGATGAATCCCTCATCAACTCAGAAAGACGCCGTGAATAATGTGATCTAGAATTATCTGCTGGTTGCATCAATTATTCGTTGTGGGTGATCTTTCCCACCGGTGTTGCCTTGGAGCTGACCACTTCAAATCCAGGGCAGCTGCAATGTTGCAATCTGACGACGATGACACTTCTTGAAAATGTAAACACCCTGACACGGCAACAACCAAATGTTTTGCTACTTCCCCTGCACCATCCAGTAAATTATCACTGCATATACCAACAAGATATTACAGGATTGCAAATACACGTGTTGCAAGCAAATGCGCATCTGACAGGCTTCCTTATCGCATTCTCCCGCTGCCACACCTGCAGGGACCGGAATTGGAGTGCTTGACCACCGGTGAAGATCGTGGGGTTGGGGTTGTCCTCCGCGTTCCTTGAGCTGGCATGAGTCAGTCGAACACAGTTCAAAGAGGTTCAGCAACGTAAGCAAAAGAGGCCGCGTGGCTCCAAGATAAGATTGATACAAAAGGGCTGTGTATGTGGGTACGTGCGTGCTGTGCGTGCTGCGCGTGCCGTGCCGTGCCATGCCGTGCCGTGCCGCGCCGTGCCGTGCCGTGCCGTGCCGTGCCGTGCGGTGCCGTGCGGCCCGGCGCGGCGCGGCGCAGCGCGGCGGTGCGGTGCAGTGCAGTGCAGTGCAGTGCAGTGCAGTGCAGTGCAGTGCATTGCGGTGCGCGGTGCGCGGTGCGCGGTGCGCGGTGCGCGGTGCGCGGTGCGCGGTGCGCGGTGCGCGGTGCGCGGTGTGTGCGGTGTGCGGTGTGTGCGGTGTGCGGTGTGCGCGTGCGCGGTGCGCGTGTGCGGTGTGCGCGGTGCGCGGTGCGCGTGCGCGGTGCGCGGCGCGGTGCGCGGTGCGCGGTGCGCGGTGCGCGGTGCGCGGTGCGCGCGTGCGCGGTGCGCGGTGCGCGGTGCCGTGCCGTGCCGTGCCTGCCGTGCCGTGCCTGCTGCGCCGCGCCGCGCCGCGCGCGCGCCGCGCCGCGCCGCGCCGCGCGCGCCGCGCCGCGCCGCGCCGCGCCGCGCCGCGCCGCGCGCACTCCGCGCCGTGCCGTTTGCCGTGCCGTGCCGTGCCGTGCCGTGCCGTGCCGTGCCGTGCCGTGCCGTGCGTGCGTGCGTGCGTGCGTGCGTGCCGTGCCGCGTGCGTGGCGTGCTGGGCGTGCCTGGGCGTGCGCGGCGCGTGCGTGGGCGTGCGTGCGCGGGCGTGCGCGGGCGTGCGCGTGCGTGCGTGCGTGGAGCGTGCGCGTGCGTGCGTGCGTGCGTGCGTGCGTGCGTGCGTGCGTGCGTGCGTGCGTGCGTGCGTGCGTGCGGTGGGTGGGTGGGTGGGTGGTGGGGGTGGGTGGGTGTGTGTGTGTGTATCTGTATTTGTGTGTGTGTGTGCGTGCGTGTGTGTTGTGTGTGTGTGTTGCGTGTCGTGTGTCGTGTGTCGTGTGTGTTTGTGTTGTGTTGCGTGCTGTGTGCTGTGTGTTGTGTGGTGCGTGTGTTGTATGTTGTGTGTTGTGTGTTGTGTGTTGTGTGTTGCGGGTTGTGGGTTTGTGATGTGGGTTGTGTGTTGTGTGTTGTGTGCTGTGTGTTGTGTGTTGTGTGTTGTGTGTCGTGCGTCGTGTGTCGTGTGTTGTGTGTTGTGTGTTGTGTGTTGTGTGTTGTGTGTGTGTTGTGTGATGTGTGTCGTGTGTTGTGTGTTGTGTGTTGTGTGTTGTGTGTTGTCTGTCGTGTGTTGTGTGTCGCGTGCTGTGTGTTGTGTGTTGTGTGTTGTGTGTCGTGTGCTGTGTGTCGTGTGTTGTGTGTTGTGTGTTGTGTGTTGTGTGTGTGTGTTGTGTGTTGTGTGTCGTGTGTTGCGTGTTGTGTGTTGTGTGTGTGTTGTGTGATGTGTGTCGTGTGCTGTATGTTGTGTGTTGTGTGTTGTGTGTTGTGTGTGTTGCGGGTTGTGGGTTTGTGATGTGGGTTGTGTGTTGTGTGTTGTGTGCTGTGTGTTGTGTGTTGTGTGTTGTGTGTCGTGTGTTGTGTGTTGTGTGCTGTGTGTTGTGCGTGTGTGTTGTTTGTTGCGGGTTGTGGGTTTGTGATGTGGGTTATGTGTTGTGTGTTGTGTGTTGTGTGTTGTGTGTTGTTGTGTGTTGTGTTGTGTCGTGTGTTGTGTGTTGTGTGTGAGTGTGTGTGTGTAGGATCCCGACACGGTCGGAGTTTCAACCGAAACATCTGTGTCAAAACACTTGCTGATAATACAATACTGCTCATGATGTTGGGGCAAAAAAAAAACTGCTGGCCCAATTGAACTACTAGTAACCAGAAACTGGCTTGCAGCAGAAGGAATTCAAAAGACATATGGTAAGAAGAAGAACTGTGCAACGACGGTGATCGCATGCGCAACGATCAAAGCCTCGTGTCCTCTTCTTGCTCTGTACAGCTTGCCTTTCTAGCTTCATTGGCGCCTGGGGCTGGGTGTTTGCCATTCCCCACTTGTAGGCATGAAAATGGGAATAACGCTTGGGTGAGACCAATCCGTTTAATCCAACAGCACCAGGCACTTGCAGCCCTTCTGATTGATGCATTGCGCCGCCTTCACTATGGATGACTTACTGTCATTTAGCTGGTTCCCACGCAGGTCAAGCAGCAGCTCCATCGAACCTGACTGTGACTCCAGGACACCTGCCAAGTCGACAGCAACCGCATCGCAAATCCGACAGTGCGCCATGTCCAGGTGTACCTTGCGGCAAGACAACAGAGACCTCAACAAGGCAATGGCGCCACAGCGGATGGGGTTGATGTCCACCTCCAAGACTACATCCTGCAGGCTCAACGACGCAAGCGCTCCTGCCAGAGCCTCGGCCCCTTTGCCGGAGATGCGGTTGAAGCCCACCCGCAAACCAAGCTGTGACAAACCTTCGAGCCGTTCCACGGCGCCGCACCACTCCTCGAGCCCAGCGTCGCCCAAGTTGCAGTGCCTCAAGTCCAGCGTGAGCCGTGCCAGCCGCGTCAGCCGGGGCAGCTCTCGCAGGTTCCGTGCCAAGTCACAAACGCTGGCGGTTTGGTATGCCAGGCATAGGCTCAGGCGGTCCACGTTCGAGATCAAAGCAATAGTCTTACCCAAAGACTCGATTGCATGGTCGTCGACCGCCGCGCGGCCAAATCTTACACTAAACGACCGCAACCACTGCAGCTCGTGCCGTAGGCTCCGACACGCGGCACAAAGGAGGCATATGTCAACTGCCTCCAACGCAGGAAAGAGCAACGCTCGCAGAAAATGGGGCGATACGACCATCTCGTCATGCGCACGGCCCGCCCTCGTCACAGCCTACCCCCTTGAGTCCAAGCAGCTGTTCCAAACTGATAAGAACCAATCTGGCCAATGACAATTCCAAAATTACCAGATCCGAAGGGGAATCTTTCACGAAACTGTCATGGATGATCTTGTTTTACCCCCAGGTGTGGCGATAACTTGCGCAATGACACGGTGGCTTTGGACTCTTAGATAGAAATCGAGAAAACTGCACACAACAACATAGCACATGGAAACACGATAGTGGAATGTGCTAGGAGTGTGGAGACAACGCTATGCTAAGCACAGTTGTCAATCACCTCCTCAACCTAAGAACATTGCCGTTCCAGCCTCATTCATCATCTAGAAAACGATTGGATGTGGCGAATCGCGGATCCACCCCTGTAGAATAGTAAAAGAGCACTAAAAGACTACTAAAAAAGCACCAAGGGGAAGAACGCTGAAATCAAAAAAAACATCCAAACCGTTGCTAGAAATCAATGGTGTTCACATCGTGGCATAAATTAATTGGAATGATACAAACAAACCATGACTACATACCTAGTATTTTATTATACAGCAGTTCTTGGAATTCTGCCAAGAAAAGACCAACTGGCACCATTTGGAGGCATTTAAGAGCTGCCAAGCCACATGACTGCCAACCTTCACGTAACCTACGATGGAAGTTGCTGATGGCGCCCAGTCAGTGCAGCTGCCTCTGCGTTGTGTGTGTGTGTGTGTGCGAAGTGCGTGTGTAGGTTGGGTTTGTGACCGTACGTCAGCACATCAGTCAACAAGACTGCTCGAGCCGGCTGTCACAAGGCGGAACGACGCATTTGTCAAAGGGTTGGGTTACAGTACAGGAAATTCTACAGGAAATGGCCCCAAAACACCGCAAATAAGCTGTTGTCCTGTAGAATTGTCTGCAACCCAACACTTTGAATTTGAATGTTCGAATCTTGGCATATGTGGGGGTTGATCAAAAGGTCCTTTGCATGGATGCTATTGGGGAAACAACGAAAATGATGATACTTCCCACCAAATGGAAAAATTACCCTTGGTCATCCAGGCGCCGAACAGAATATTGATCAACCCCCAAAAGGTGTGTCTGATCACCCTTTTGCAAGAAAAGAAATGAAAGCCTCTCCCTCTGGCTTCAGAAAAAGCTCACACGAGAATCTGATTTCAACTGGCGCCGATGCACAAGATCCGGTTCTTCCGTCCGAATTCATGCATCTTGACCCTCCAGCTAAGTCCCCAGGCGCTGAGTAAAGGTATCCGAGCACAATATGCGGAGAACCTGGCGTCAAGTCACAAGGCTGCACACAGACGAAAAACACATGTGGATGATTTGACTCAAAAGTCGCGTGAATATCCTCGACGCACTGATAGGTGCCAGCAATCGGGATGGTTGTTCTCTTTTTGTCTTCAGAATACGGGAACCCCAACCCCCCCTTTTCCTGTTTCTCTTAGAATACGGGAATCCAAATATGGCTGGCTGCCCCGTTTCAAACCAAACAAAAAGGAAAGCAACAGACGTGGCCTTCCCGGCTCCCAGGTATCCTCGCCCAGGCCCGTCAAGCCGCGCAAAGAGCTCCTGAAGCGGACCAAATAGGCCAGCCAAAATGGTGCGGCTCAAAATCAAGGAGCTAGAGTTTCGCAGGGGATTGGTCCTTGTTTCCATTTACCATGCCACAGCCAGCCCAATGGTGCCAATGCAAAATAACCGAATTGGCTTACTTTTGCGAAAGGTAGGGACCATAACTTCATTGTGGCAGCATTGCACTATTCCTTTTTTTGTGAAGACGCCAGCTATTTTGGCCATGCCACGAATCAGAATGACGTTTGGTCCTCGGCTTGTTTGCCATCTATGCGGTCAGGAAGCATAACTCAACAAGTTGTCCTGACAGCTCTTGATTTCTCTTCTTTCTATGCACACGAAGCCTCGCAATGTTTAATACTGATGTGGACACCCTGTGGCCATTCACAAGCTGGCAAGTTCATCGTGTGCACTTCCTGGAGGCCGGCTTGAATTGAGCCATCCAAAGTCAATTGTCAAATGGCTGTGGGTCACAAATAGGTACCCCAAATGGAACCCTGGTAAGTGGAAACAGGGACCAAGTCCTGCGGTCCCCTGGTGGTTTAGTTTTACGATGTGTCAAATCTGTCCGCACTTTGTGTGTGTCCCTTCTCGCAGCCCACAATTTCAACCAATGCTTCCTGCACAAACACCCCACCAGAACAACTAACCCCAGGCTGAGAAAGCTTGCGGGACACAAAGAAGTGAAAGCCAAGCTAGATTCAAACTCACCTAAGGTTCCACTGCGTTTTGCCATAGGACAACCGGCACTTTGGCACTTCTGGAACAAACACCAAGATCCGTCTGTGTGCCAATAATAGAAAGAAAATGCAAATATCCCGCCTATTTGCTTGGCGCGCTGAACCTTGGAAGCCTTGAAGCCTGCGCGCGCAGGCGACCCTGGGCGGCCAGCGAATGCCCCTCTCTCACTGCGTCAAATGTTCCAGACGCCATCAAAAGGCTCCTAGCCGCACCTTGCTGAACTTCAGCGCAAGGAGATTCTTCACTCGCCCAAGTTAGGCGATACGCAGGTGACGTGCGCGGCACAAACCAAAGAGCATCAAGCTGGCGCTTGCGCGGACAAGGAAATTATGCACTCGCCCAAGTTAGGCGATTGACACCAACGCAGGTGACGTGCGCGGCACAAAACAAAGAGCATCAAGCTGGCGCTTGCGCGGACAAGGAATTCTTCACTCGCCCAAGTTAGGCGATTCACACCAACGCAGGTGACGTGCGCGGCACAAACCAAACAGCATCAAGCTGGCGCTTGCGCGAACAAGGAAATTCTTCACTCGCCCAAGTTAGGCGATTGACACCAACGCAGGTGACGTGCGCGGCACAAACCAAAGAGCATCAAGCTGGCGCTTGCGCGGACAAGGAAATTCTTCACTCGCCCAAGTTAGGCGATTGACACCAACGCAGGTGACGTGCGCGGCACAAACCAAAGAGCATCAAGCTGGCGCTTGCGCGGACAAGGAAATTCTTCACTCGCCCAAGTTAGGCGATTGACACCAACGCAGGTGACGTGCGCGGCACAAACCAAAGAGCATCAAGCTGGCGCTTGCGCGGACAAGGAAATTCTTCACTCGCCCAAGTTAGGCGATTGACACCAACGCAGGTGACGTGCGCGGCACAAAACCAAAGAGCATCAAGCTGGCGCTTGCGCGGACAAGGAAATTCTTCACTCGCCCAAGTTAGGCGATTGACACCAACGCAGGTGACGTGCGCGGCACAAAACCAAAGAGCATCAAGCTGGCGCTTGCGCGGACAAGGAAATTCTTCACTCGCCCAAGTTAGGCGATTGACACCAACGCAGGTGACGTGCGCGGCACAAAACCAAAGAGCATCAAGCTGGCGCTTGCGCGGACAAGGAAATTCTTCACTCGCCCAAGTTAGGCGATTGACACCAACGCAGGTGACGTGCGCGGCACAAACCAAAGAGCATCAAGCTGGCGCTTGCGCGGACAAGGAAATTCTTCACTCGCCCAAGTTAGGCGATTGACACCAACGCAGGTGACGTGCGCGGCACAAACCAAAGAGCATCAAGCTGGCGCTTGGACAAGCGCCCAAGTTAGGCATGACACCAAACGCAGGTGAAAAAACCAAAGAGCATCAAGTCTTTTACGCGACAAGAATTCTTCACTCGCCCAAGTTAGGCGATTGACACCAACGCAGGTGACGTGCGCGGCACAAACCAAAGGGCGCTGCGCGGACAAGAATTCTTTCACTCGCCCAAACAAAGCGTTGACACCTTAGGCGCATGACGTGCGCGGCACAAAACAAAGAGCATCAAGCTGGCGCTTGCGCGGACAAGGAAATTCTTCACTCGCCCAAGTTAGGCGATTGACACCAACGCAGGCGACGTGCGCGGCACAAACCAAAGAGCATGAAGGTGGCGCTTGCGCGGACAAGGAAATTATTCACTCGCCCAAGTTAGGCGATTGACACCAACGCAGGTGACGTGCGCGGCACAAACCAAAGAGCATCAAGCTGGCGCTTGCGCGAACAAGGAAATTCTTCACTCGCCCAAGTTAGGCGATTGACACCAACGCAGGCGACGTGCGCGGCACAAACCAAAGAGCATGAAGGTGGCGCTTGCGCGGACAAGGAAATTATTCACTCGCCCAAGTTAGGCGATTGACACCAACGCAGGTGACGTGCGCGGCACAAACCAAAGAGCATCAAGCTGGCGCTTGCGCGGACAAGGGAATTCTTTACTCGCCCAAGTTAGGCGATGACACCAACGCAGTGACGTGCGCGGCACGAGCATCACGCTGCGCTTGCGCGGACAAGGAAATTCTTCACTCGCCCAAGTTAGGCATTGACACCAACGCAGGTGACGTGCGCGGCACAAACCAAAGAGCATCAAGCTGGCGCTTGCGCGGACAAGGAAATTCTTCACTCGCCCAAGTTAGGCGATTGACACCAACGCAGGTGACGTGCGCGGCACAAACCAAAGAGCATCAAGCTGGCGCTTGCGCGGACAAGGAAATTCTTCACTCGCCCAAGTTAGGCGATTGACACCAACGCAGGTGACGTGGGCGGCACAAACCAAAGAGCATCAAGCTGGCGCTTGCGCGGACAAGGAAATTCTTCACTCGCCCAAGTTAGGCGATTGACACCAACGCGGGTTGACGTGGGCGGCACAAAACTAAAGAGCATCAAGCTGGCGCTTGCGCGGACAAGGAAATTCTTCACTCGCCCAAGTTAGGCGATTGACACCAACGCAGGTGACGTGGGCGGCACAAAACTAAAGAGCATCAAGCTGGCGCTTGCGCGGACAAGGAAATTCTTCACTCGCCCAAGTTAGGCGATTGACACCAACGCAGGTGACGTGGGCGGCACAAAACTAAAGAGCATCAAGCTGGCGCTTGCGCGGACAAGGAAATTCTTCACTCGCCCAAGTTAGGCGATTGACACCAACGCAGGTGACGTGGGCGGCACAAAACTAAAGAGCATCAAGCTGGCGCTTGCGCGGACAAGGAAATTCTTCACTCGCCCAAGTTAGGCGATTGACACCAACGCAGGTGACGTGGGCGGCACAAAACTAAAGAGCATCAAGCTGGCGCTTGCACAAGGAAATTCTTCATTAGGCGATTGACACCAACGCAGGTGACGTGGGCGGCACAAAACCAAAGAGCATCAAGCTTGCGTTGGTGTCAATCGCCTAACTTGGGCGAGTGAAGCATTTCCTTGTCCGCGCAAGCGCCAGCTTGATGCTCTTTGGTTTGTGCCGCGCACGTCACCTGCGTTGGTGTCAATCGCCTAACTTGGGCGAGTGAAGAATTGTCCGCGCAAGAGCATCAAGCTGGCGCTTGCGCGGACAAGGAAATTCGCCTCGGCCCCAAAGGGGCCAAGGGCGCTCAGATCTCTTCTCCAAAGAGAATCTTCGCCCCCCCACCCATGTCGGATGGCCCAAAATCCTGTCCGGCGGGCCTTGAAATTTTCGGGTTCGTCGGCGTCCAGCTCCATGGGTCCATTTTTGTCGAAAATGTGCTGACAATTGGACTCAGTCCCTCAGCCCGCCTGCTGGCGTGTCTTACGTGTCTGTGACTGGCCTCAGGCCCAGCACTCGCCACCCAGCCTCAGGCCCAAGTGTGTGTGAAACAGGCCTTGCCCATCCAGCAACCCGCCCCCACCGCAGACTCAGCGTGCCAAGGTCAGGTTTGTCTAACGTGTCTGAGACTGGCCTCAGGCCAACGACCAGCTCACGTGTCTGAGACTGGTCTCAAGCTACGCCAGCTACTAAGCCCCAGCCCCCCAGTCCGGCTGCTCAGCTCAGCCCGGGCTGACCAGGCCACACTGGATTTCGGTGTTCCTGACCCTTCCCTCAAACTAGGCTGGGCCGAGGCGGGCAACGCGAAGCGTTTACAATTATTCACTCGCCCAAGTTAGGCGATTGACACCAACGAAAGAGCATCAAGCTGGCGCTTGCGCGGGCAAGGAAATTCTTCACTCGCCCAAGCTAGGCGATTGACACCAACGCAGGTGACGTGCGCGGCACAAAACCAAAGAGCATCAAGCTGGCGCTTGCGCGGACAAGGAAATTATTCACTCGCCCAAGTTAGGCGATTGACACCAACGCAGGTGACGTGCGCGGCACAAAACCAAAGAGCATCAAGCTGGCGCTTGCGCGGACAAGGAAATTCTTCACTCGCCCAAGTTAGGCGATTGACACCAACGCAGGTGACGTGCGCGGCACAAAACCAAAGAGCATCAAGCTGGTGCTTGCGCGGACAAGGAAATTCTTCACTTGCCCAAGTTAGGCGATTGACACCAACACAGGTGACGTGCGCGGCACAAAACCAAAGAGCATCAAGCTGGCGCTTGCGCGGGCAAGGAAATTCTTCACTCGCCCAAGTTGGGCGATTGACACCAACGCAGGTGACGTGCACGGCACAAAACCAAAGAGCATCAAGCTGCACTTGCGCGGGCAAGGAAATTCTTCACTCGCCCAAGTTAGGCGATTCACACCACAACGCAGGTGACGTGCGCGGCACAAAACCAAAGAGCATCAAGCTGGCGCTTGCGCGGACAAGGAAATTCTTCACTCGCCCAAGTTAGGCCATTGACACCAACGCAGGTGATGCGCGCGGCACAAAACCAAAGAGCATCAAGCTTGCGCTTGCGCGGACAAGGAAATTCTTCACTCGCCCAACTTAGGCGATTGACACCAACGCAGGTGACGCGTGCGGCACAAAACCAAAGAGCATCAAGCTGGCGCTTGCGCGGACAAGGAAATTCTTAACTCGCCCAAGTTAAAGACACCAACGAAGGAAACGTGCGCAGCACAAAACCAAAGAGCATC